GTGGACGACGACCGTACCGAGGCCGACGACGACTAGGTTAACGGTTAAACGAGGACAAGGTACGGACGAAGCGAGAGGAGAGGGGGGGGGGGCGGGGGTGACGGATTGGGGGGGGAGGGGAGGGAGACACAAAACAAAAGCCAAACATTAGAATGTGTAAGGATTCTAATGTTTTCCCCCACCCACCACCCCAGATCAAAGGGTAGAACTTATTAAATCCAACAACAACAAAAATTTACGCTACAGGACACCACACGAGATGATGCGAGTCAAAGGTGGGCGAACTGCATATGGGAATCAATGCTTCCACACGACCACTTTTTAAACCGTTATGAAGCCGAGCTCTCTCTGTCTTGGATGCACGTGTGTGTTAAGAGCAGTTAAAAAGCAGGAGCGGTCACGGAAAGGCAAAAACCAAAAAAACGGAACGAAACTCCCCGAGGAGAACCGAACGGACTGTTACCATCAGCAAGTAGCCGCTGGCCACGCGGATGACGCTGACGTCGGAGAAGGACTTGAGGATGTCGTCCAGGGTCGTCGTGGTAAAGGAAAGCACCTTCTGAGTGGAGTTCTGAGCGACGCTCTGGTGGACCACCTGCGGTCACAGCGCACGGACAGATCCCAGGTGGGATTAAAGCTACAAGAAGCTTCGCTATCCCAGCCCGGGGTGACGTGTCCCCTCCGCCCACCCCCACTTTTCTCGCCTACACGACTCAGGTCTGAACTTGGACCAACACTGAACCATCCTGGGCCTGGGACAATGACGTCTACTGCTAACCAAGCGAGACTGCGGTGCTGCGCTGGCCTGGGGTAACTGAAGTTTGCTCCAAAGACGGCTAGTCCCGTCTCCGAAACTCCACGACTGGTTTGCAGGCCATCAGTTCCCCCCCCAGTCCCAAACAACCCATGCTTACGGCACGCCTCCCCCCTTCATTTGCTGGCCACTTTTAAAAGGTCACAGGCAGCTCAGCAGAGGTCACTGCTTGGGAAACGAAGGCCAGCTTCTGTCACATGACCTAACCGAGGGGACTGCAGCTGTGAGCAGACTCTAGGCCTTGCTAATGTTTTCCAGACACCTTTTCTTGCTAACCAAGTGGGTTTTTTTTCCCCCAAACACTATTCTGCCTTAGTGCTGGAGTTCACAACTGGTGACTCAAAACGTTTTAGGCCATCCCGATTAGAATTAGCATCACCCAGATACTATGATTTTCAGTAGCAAGAAGAGGAGAAAGTTTTCATGCCACCAAGTTCCCAGAATTACGATCCATTCTAAAATAAGTTCTAATGATAAGAAAAAGTTTTAATTAAAACGTGAAAATGACGCATTTAGTGACTAAGGGGTTTGGACCCACATTCAGAGGGCATCAAGACACTGGCCATTTACCTCCACGTACGTCCTCTGCCAGGCCTCCAGGATGGCTGCAGCCTTGTCCTCGTTCCAGGTGATGTGCGAGACATACTCATACCCCTTGAAGTGTTCGTACATTTGCTTGGGAGTCATTAACTGAAACATGGTCTGCAAGGCGTGGGCACTGTGATGGGGCGGAAAAGGCACCCCATTCAGCATCCCCAGGAAGCAGCTCTCACTGCGCGACACCCCCACCGAGCGCCCCGGCTCACCCGCAGCCATTCTGCCCTCTGCGCGCACAGGTTTCCATGAAAGTGAGACCTGGGTGGCTATTTTATTTAATAGATTGATGTACCATATTAAAGGTGTAACCTTACAAACCTTTTACAGATAGACCCCCAAATTAAATTAATAGGCAATTTCCTTTCTCAGTTTCCATTCAACAAAACAGGAAGGGGAGAGAAGTAGATAGCTTGACCAGATACGCCGGGCTCAGCACCGCATGCCGGCTGGTGCAGAAATCCCAGACGACGGCCCTCCCGAGGGAGCAACCGCAGACGGAGCGCCCGACACTTGACAGAGCGGAGAGCGCAGTCCGCAAGCGCACAGAGGAGAAGCCTTGTTTAGCCATCAGTCATTGGTCCTTTTCCTTTCAGAGGCTGTGGCAGAGTTCGGCTCACGATCATTTAACTCCACGGGGTATGACCAATGCCTCTTGCCTACTTCATACCTGCCCCGATTTTCTGCACCGTGGGCAGATCTTCTAACACCCCAGGGTCACTATCTACAGTCTTGATGAAAATGACTCATCTGCTCTTGAAAAATTCCCCACAAGGTGCTTTTCTGGGGGCCGGTCTGGTCCACTAATATTTCCTAATATTCCGCGACACCAGACAGCTAGCGAGGAGGACAGTAAAGTATCGACACAAACGCACTTGCAGGTGGATTCTGAGGAAAGCACGGGAACTAGCTGGCTCGCCTCTCCCCCCGCGCGCCGCATTACCTGACGAGCTTCCCCGTGCTGTTCTTCACCGTGCCACCCACAATCAGCTCCTCCTGCCAGTGCATGTACTTTCTGGATAAGCCATGACATCCACCATTCAAAACAAGGGCCATATCAAGAGGCTGAAATAAAAAGACAGCCACATAATTACAGGAATTAGTAGGCAGGTCACATGCCTTGTTAAAATCCAGTGCATTAAGGGCTTGTTTGTTTCAGGGAGAACATTAATAACAAGGCTAATGAGAGGCGTGCGGCAAATCTTACAGCAAAATTTCGCTCTACGAACGCACTTGGTTGCATAGATAAAAAGCGTCATTGAGAACGAAATCTTAAATATGAAAATAACAGAGCTACAAATGGGGGAGAGGGGAGACATCCAGTTCTTCCCGCTGCCCCTCCTGAGGGGAACCAAGGGCCGTGCTTACTTTGGTGGCGTTTTTGTTCGGGGCTGTGGCAGGGCAGTCTGGGTCAGCCGGGTTGAGGCAGGGCCGGTCCATGTAACCATGACCAACTTCAGCCTTATTCAGCATTTCCTCCCAGCTGTCCACTTGATAGTTTATTTTCTTTAACTCTTCCAGGAATTCCAAAGGGTCAAAGTTTGTCCACTGCAAAGGAGGCTTACCTCTGTGAAAGGAATTAGGAGGCGAGACAATGAAAAAAAGAGGCTCCCAAGCCCTCAGTCTAATAACAAGACTGCACCTCCTGCATCTGGATTGCGTGAGGCTCTCTGGTCATAGCTCTAATTCTGGGATCCTGGCACAAAACAACAAGTGCTCCTTCCCAGGGTCCCTATATGCAAACCTAAGTCAGCAAAGTAATCCATGACTTAGAAATTAACAAAGGCACTGAAGAATCTTCACTTGCTGATGGAATGTGTTCAATAGCTAAAAACAAAATTAGCCAATGGGTGCTTCCAGGCAGAAGACTGAGACCCCAAATTAAGTTGGGGGGGGAGAGGAAATCACAATGTCAAATTAGCACTTGCCAGCCTAATAAATGTTTTGTAAATGTCATCAATCAAAATATTTGATCTCCATTACCTTTAATAATCCCATACTTATGAGCTCTCTCTGACAGCCTGGCAGTCAACCCCGCAGGCCCCCTGCTGCCTCTGCCATCACCGCCGTCAAGGCCACTTCCCCCCACACTCACTTTTGAATTTGTGCTGTTGACAGACCAGAAAGGCTTTTGGCTGCCTGTTATGTGGTTCAAACCACACTGTAGCTGCTTAACCAGGCTGAAGTCATTATTCAGAATCTCCCAACCAGAAAACACAAAACCCCTTATTTCCCATCTAAAACTGTACACTGAAGGTCAGGGTATGGCCACCACAAATTGCTTTTGCAGATATGTGCAAGCTAGGACACAAACAATAACCAAGCACTAACTCTTGCATAATTAACTGAAAACGTCTACACTGATTAACAATTATTCCTTAAATGGTGCGGTGTATGTAATATTCAGCTGCTAAACAGTGAAGCATCCCCTACCATGGCCTTCAAAGAGAGCGGATTTCCCCTTTAAATGTCATTAATGTGATCCAAAGAAAGGTTTAGCATTTTACTTAACAGGAAGATCTTAAACTCAAAAGTCTTAGTTTTGACATGTACCCACTAATAAATTCTCTCCTAAAAAAAAAAAAAAAAAAAAGCTACGCCTACCTAAGTGCTTGGTCTGCAAAACTGCAAACAGTTTTAAAGAGTTAAAAATCACACATACTCTGAAATAATTTGCATTTTATTTGCATATAAATAGGCTGGTAAAAGTGAATGAAATCTAATGATGCCTACAGAACTTTTTTTTGAAAAGAGGAAAAACAGCCTGCTGCAGTGCCCTCTCCCCCAACTATTCACTCAAAAAATGCACATGGAATTTCAATGTTTTTATTTCTTGTTCAAAAACTAAAGCAGAATAAACAATGATAAAGTAACATCAGAACCATCCTAGAGTTTAGAAAGCACAGACATCAGAAAACAAGATCACACACTTACAGTAGGTACGCTGTCCCAGATTGTAACTTCGCCCCTTCCCAGAAGCAGTCCAAAGGTGTAATAATTAAACAAGGGTAAAGATATTCTATTATCTGTCAAAGTTGAAAAGGACAGGCTGTGCATTAGGCTAACGTATACCACAGAGGTGTCTGAACATTTCTGAAATCTTTTTTGCAAACAGAAAGAAATCATACCTGATCCATGTAACCTGTTTCTGTGATAAGTTCGCCAGATTTATAACACAAATGTTCCAATTTCCACTGCCTGTAGAATAAAGAGCAGAGACAAACATTTCTTATTGTAATAAAGTTGGGAAAGCCGTGCAAAACCAGAACTACAGAACATATAGAAAGAACTGCAATTTTATCACTTTTAAGTACCTGTCAAAACGCGCAGAGCTTTGCCAAACAGCCTCAACAAGCTTGCTTTAATGAATAGATAATACTCAACTGCAATTAACATGTGGGGTGTTTATGTAAATGAATGCTACCAAAGTACTTGAAAAGTCTTGTTTTCTTAAGTGTTCTCCCAATAATCTTGTTTACACCATTAATCTGCTTTTCTACATACATTAAAACAACTTCAGGGCAGATCGTTCAGAGCTGAATTGTCACAAATTCAGAATAGGTGGGGGCTAAATCAGTAAAGTTTATAATGTAGTAACATATATTCAGGTGGGAAAAATATCACTTTTTTTTTTTTACTGGCAGAAAATGTCCTTTTTAACAGATAGTGTTCAAAATGAACCTTCCCGCTCTTAACCACAAATGCTGCCAACAACACTGCCAGGCAGATTGCTTTCTCACTCTACAGTCTTCTCTTCTTGTCCTCGAGAAATTGTATTAAATATACTGATCAACAATTACCCTGTTATCTATCATTTATTATTACAAAGTTCTGCTATCTCTAGAAGAGGGCTACACAGAAGCCCATGCCTCTGAATGCATTAGAGGTAAGTCTAACTCGAAAAAAGAGGACATTAGGAAAGTGTGGGGATGGGAAACCCAAGAAAACAAAAATTAAAAATTAAAAAATGTCTAAACTGCTCTATTTCATTAGTCTCTTTCTCACTTTTATTAGTCACCCAAAAGAACGGCCTGGACTTTGCCCGCTTCCCTGTGGCACCTTCCGTCCATCCCTCGGCGCCCGGCTGAAATGCTCCCTTTCTGCTAAGCTGCTTCCATCAGCACTATTGAAAACGCCCCCTTTCTCCGGACCTCTAGAGCACTGCTGGTCTGCTCTCCCTCCCGACCCCCGGAGCACCTGCAGGAGGGACCACCTGTGTTTGGTTTTATACACACTTCTCCTATTGGTGTCCCTTCTCTCCCTAACTAGCCCATCAGCTCCTGAGAGGAGGCCCCACTTACCACCCACCCATCCGCGTAGCCTTTTAATTCCCTGCAGCACAACACATACTGTCTAGCAAGGGTAGGTTCTCAGTATGACTTGATCAATTAACTCTTCTTCACACTTGCTTGAGAAGAGCAGGGCTGTGCTTCAGAGAAACCACCGGGCGTGGAGCCAGAAGAGAGTTTGAAACCTGGCTCTACTGTTTAATAACTGGATGAACTTGGACAAATGCCTTAATTAATCTAATTCTCAGTTTTCTCACCTAAAAAAACGAGATGGGTTGAACTCAGGTGTTCTTTCAAGTTCACTCCAATGCATAAAAGTTCTCTGGTCCCATCGCAGTGTTAAGAGTGTGATTTCACTGCACAGATTTTCTCCGTAAGTGTGCAATGACCAGCCAACCCCCTCAAGGGAGGGTCCCATTCTGTTAAGACTGTGTCAGGCATGCGTACAGTGGCCCAGGGACACCCACTTCCAAGTTCTGTACGGGCCTCCACTTGCAAATTTTGCACAACTGCACTGGGTAGCTGCTCCCCATACAGAGCTCTTTACGGACTGGGAGGGGAGCGCTGTGCTGGGAAACGCAGAGCTGGGCCCTCCTGCCATGTGTGCCTCACCAAAGCACATCACCTCTCCTTATGTTTTCCAAAGCCCTTTCAGACATACTTATATCCGATCTTATATCTGATCTTGCTCTGGTCACCTCCTGAGGATTAGAGCACACACATGATCAGAAACTTGGCTTACTGATGAAGAAACGAGAGTATGTCAAAGATAGGTGACTTGTCTCAGGTCATGCGGGGGCCCAAGGGCTTCCATCTCCAGCTGGATGGGTCTTAGAGCCAATCCAGTGAAGACCATGGAGAGCGGAGGTGACATCTGCAGGAACAAGCACTGATTTTTGTTTTATTCTCCTCCTCTCATTCTCCCTGACCACTGAATATGTCTACCCTGCCGCTTCCTCACTTCTATGAAAAAACAATACTCACCGACCACCCAGTTAAGACATGTTTGAAAGTCTAGGTTAACGCCAACCCAATGGTCCCCTGAAAATAGGGTTTAGTGATAGTCACCTCAACAGTTCAGGGAGACGACCCAGTTTAAACTCATCAAACCAGAGTCAGTCAGTCAGCAAACTCTCTGAGTACCTGCTTGATCTAAGTGCTGGGGTTCAAGAATGGACAAGATGTGGTCCCTGCCCTGAGTAACTGTTTTGGACAGTTAGGGAAAAGGGGCTGATGGGTTCACTGCAGGCCTCCTCCTACGCTTTTACTATACCCACAGCAGTGCTAAATTAGCTACGAAGCCAAAGGGTAATGTTTTGTCAAGGTGTGTGAATCCACCCTACTCTGCCTATCTGTCCCCAGGAATTCACCATGTTTTGTTGCTTAGCCCCTTATTCTGTTGTGACACATAACCAACTGTCAACACCTATAGTGAATACAAAGTAACAAGAAGTAAGTTTTCCTTA